GTTTTAAAACAGAATTTGAAAAACTCTTATTTAATACAGACAAGGTACAAAGGGTTTTAAGTTAAACTTTGAGAGGCAGGAGAAAAATAATCTACTCATTTACATTTACCTACAATCCCTTCCTTGTGGAGCACTCTGAATTGTGCAAGGTTTTGTTATTTCATACAAAAAAGTCAAAATTCCCATGATTTTAAGATAATTCATTAAATTAGTTGGCCCAACATGTTCCAAAAAGAATCTTAAAAAAAAAGAAATGCTGCCATTAGCTAAATAGTTGAGGGAACTGTGCAAAGGGAGAATGGGGGTAGAAAAGAACAAAGGAGAAAGATCAGTGTTGGGGGTAATTATTTCTCTCCCCCCATGTGGAAGGATCTCCCTAGAGTGGTGCTCATGGGCTCCTGCCTCAGCCCCTCTTGGGCCAGAGGGCATTCTCTGATTGTTCATTAATAAGAAAGGATTGAGATGGTGTCCCCCTGGGGTGAATGCACCCGTCTGCAGAGACTTCACACCCTCCCACAGGGGAGGGCAGGCAAGTCTGCCTAATCCAGGATGGTGTTGACTGGTCTGGTTCCCAGCACACTCAAGCTACATTTTCCCACCTAGCTTCATGTGGATCTCCATCTTCTGTCTCTTGTGTCTATTTCTCAATTAGTTTATAACAGAGACAAGGGGAAATGGGTGTCATTTATTAGCCCCTTGAGCCCCAATGGTGAGTAACACAAAACACAAGCTGTGATGTCCTAAGTACTTGTGTAAGGAGGGACAGGTCAAGAGTTTGGCTCTAAACTGCCTGGCAGCCAACAAAGAATTTAACATATTATATTGCTCTAAGTTTAAAATAATCTATTCACAACTATTCCTGGTGATGAAACCATAGAGAAATATCTTCTATCAATTTTCATAAGAAAAAACTGTAATGGAATTAGCAACATTTTAATAACATTTTTAGAGTAAATTCAGCTCATTAAGGGTGAGAGAGAAAAATGGCAAATTCCAGGTACTCAGCTCTCTCTCTAATGGTCGGCTTGATCTGGGAATATACCTCAGAAAAGCCAGAACAGAGGTTCTTAACCCTTCTAAGAACCAGACTAAAGCTTATGCTCAGGAACACATGGAAGGTTTATGGACTTCTGGAAGCCTATATATGACTATTTCAGGAGATTTATGGACCTTTTAAGAATCTCTGACTTTGAGAAATTAACAAACTTCAT